ACTTTATTATGTATAGTATTTAAATATATGCCTGAGAAACACATAATATTGGCCCTTTAATTAATTCACAAACACAAACTCTTACATTACTTATTGTACACAAGTGAAAAGGGAACAGGAAGAAGAAAAATCTTGTATAAACCAGCCGCTTTTTTCCAAAATTACAAAAAAAAAAAAAAAAATTTCCTGGCTGTATACATTAAAATGAACTTTATGTAGAAATCCATGCAGAATCTTTTATAACAGGAGTGAAATCCAGTGGTGGAAGTGAACATCCTTGTGATGGCAGGGGTGCAGACAGGATGCTGTGTGTAAAATGCTGAGTCACTAAAACTCTGCTGTGAATGTGTGTGATGTGTGAGCAGGTACCACAGAGACGCTGGATCCGGTTCCTTCCCTTCTGATTCGGAGATGGCATCAGGCCGCAGGTCCTGGTTCTGGTGCCGCGTGCTCTGTGTGGCGCTGCCCCTCCAGCTCTTCCTGCTCCTGCTGGTAGCTTTGTCCTTCCTGCTGCCGCTGTCGGAGGAGGACTACTGCGCTCAGTCCAACAACTTCGCTCATTCCCTTTACCCCATGCTCAGCTACATGAACGGTCCTCCTCCTGTGTGAGTGGTCCAGCAGAACTGTGTGGTCCAGCAGAACTGTGTGGTCCAGCAGAACTGTGTGGTCCAGCAGAACTGTGTGGTCCAGCAGAACCACAACTGAAATCAAGCCTTTGAAGAGCAACAGCTCATATTTCATCCATGTGCTGTGCAGAAACTCAGCTCCTGTCTGTGTGTCTCAGTCAGGTGTGTGTCTGTTTGTGTAACGTAAAGAAATGACACTGAGGACATCTGCTGGAGGAATGAGTAGACTCATCAGTACATCTCACATTTTCTGACGAGGAAAGCACCAAAGTTTAACAGTCTGTGAATCTGCTTGGACAACATTTAATACATTACATTTATTTTTTTTACCTGTATTTTTGGCATGTGGTTTTAATCTTTGTTTTTATGGACTTAAATTCATACTGTGTTTGTAGGAAACAGTCGATTTTTAACTTGAATTATTTGGATTCACATAAATCATTTAACTGACGTGTTTTATTATGAAAATCTATCCAAGAGTTCAGCCTTTATTGTCAGTTATCCTTTCCACATTCTGCTTTTGATTTGTTTTACACTGAGGACATAATAGTTATTGTGTATTTTCTGACTGTCCAAGTCTGAAATCTAGAACAATCCAGGATTATTTACTGTGTATAAAATGCAAGAGATTAATGTGAAAAATGTATATGCAATTAAACAATGAATGCCAAATCTTTATTTTGAATTTTGTCTCTTTATTAGTTTTATTTATTATCTTATCAGGTCCACCTGCTGCCAAAGCTGAAGTGGTGATAAAAGTTTGTTGTTTATGATGCAATTATTGTTAGTAAAATATCTCATGAACCAAAGGGTTTATTTTAAGGGAACAACTCAACAAAAATTATTTTCCTCATAAGATGATGCAAACACACTATTTACACTGGTGGACACCTGGACATGTCTGGACTGGTCCATCACAGGGACACAGGACTTCAGTTTATCACAGAGAGAAAAATAAACAACCATTGATTGATTATTGTTTATTCAGTCATCAAAACTGTTCAGCAACAAATTAAAACATTACAAAACAGTACAAAAATGTAAACATTTTGACTGAAAAGGTACAGGCAGAAGCACAAGGTTTATATTTGTGCCTGTCCTACACATCCAATTAAACTAAACTACCCAAAACAAATAATCCTTAACAAAACAAATACAATAACAATTTAAAGTTATTTTCACTTGTAACCCTCAAATATATTTCTTTTTAGAATTGTTTTGAAAACCGTTAATAAACTACATTCTCGTAAATCCATGCTTGCATCATTCCTACAACAGAAAAAGACCTTTTTATTTCTTTTTCAGTGTGTGGTTTTATAAATTTAATAACATGTTGCAGATCATATTGAGATTCATATAAAAAATCTTTGCACCCCAACAGGCAACACACCTAATTTTGCTCTAAACATTATTTGCATTATTTTGCAATGAACCAACTCATAGAATTTGATGATACCAGATGTAATAAACAGTGGATTTGTTTGTTCATAGTAACCAGACTTGTTAAAAACACGTATGGCTCATTTTTGTAAAAGTACTACATCATTAATTGTTTTGTATGTGGAACTCCACACTTCCACACAATAAGATATATATGGAAGTATACTGTAAGTGAAGAGTAAATAATATGCAAAACCTTGTAATTTAATACATTTCTAGACTTATACAGAATGGCTTTTGTTTTTGCTATCTTTTCCTTTATTTATTTAATATGTTGTCTCCATGTTAATTTAGAATCAATAATAATCCCTAAAAGATTTTATTTCAGACACTCGTTCAATTTCAGCATCACATATTTTTAATATCATATCTCTAGTAGTTTCTTTTTGATTTCCAAACACCATGAATTTAGTTTTGTTTATATTAAGTGATAATCTGTTGAAATCAAACCAGGTTTTAAGATTTTCTAATTCCTGAACCATTCACCCTCTCACTTGAGGGCAACAGAGTTATTTATGAACCGTTACCCAACATGATGTTTTTGGTCTGGAGAAGGAAAGAGAGCACCTGGAGAAAACCCACCTGTGCATAGGGAGAACAAAATTACTCCTTATAATTACTATATTTTTCTTCAGTGTTGAAATCTCTGATTTACAATAAGTACTGAACACGTCACCATTTTTCTCAGTAAATATATTACTAGAGGTGCTAATGACATGAAATTTTCACCAGATGTTGGTAACAACCCAAGTGATCCATACATACAAAGAAATCAAACCATAAATGTCCAACTGAACTCTCTCAGTAATTAAAAAGCAAGCCTGCCACTTGTCAGTGCAAGTTAATATCAGCTGGTTCAGTCCCAAAT